GGTAAAAGCCTTGTGATTGATTAAAGGGCAGAAGCTGGAAGGGAACCTGCTTCTCATCTTAAAGATTGCTCTGAGAGAACACTTGGCTGGAGAACTTACTTTTTGAGAGAACCAGTCTGGAGGGCGGCCGGGTTCTGCAAAGGGCTTGATTGCTCTGCTAACTGATACCCTAACAAAGTTGAGAAAAGCCTTATTACACACCAAACAGCAAAAAGAAGGAAGGTATGCTGAGTTCAAGATTTGGATTAAATTCTGAAATAAAAAAAATACCACTGGAAGTATTCTGAAACATGTGCCTAAAGAAAATGATACAACTTTTTAAACGTCATTTAGAGGGAAACATTCACTGCTAAACAGCTTTCCTAGGTGATATACTTCATAGGTAAAGTGAAGATATATAACCTAAAGTATCATTTCTGTTGTTTTGGGGAAATATTTTTTATGTTGATTTTGGTTCTTTTAGGAGAGATCTGCCTTTTGAAAAGTAATGTGTCATATATTCCAGAACTACAAAAGTTATCTTCTGATCCACTAATACAGCTGCTAGGGATGTAATATAAGAAAATTATCTAACAAAGCAGCAGTCACCATGTGGACTTGATCAGACTGATCAAGTTAGGTTTTTCCTAAACGCCTGCAGGAGGATGTTTAACTTACAGCACTTCAACCCTACAAAATATTCATCAGTCCATAAAAATAATAATGATATATGTGTGTTGATATGGAATGTACATATAACATTATATTAACTGAAAAAAGATGGCACAATGTTCTGCTTTGATGCAATCAGACAATCTTTTAAGGAGCTGCAGGCATAAAAACAAAGAAACAGGCAAAAATGAAAATAGAGTGACTGGAATGGAATAAAAAAAGAGAGTAAAGGGGCTTCAACTGTGTGTTTACTTCCTTAAAAATATCTTGAGGAAATATTACAAATATTAAGATTTTTTAAAAATCCAGGCACCGGTGTATGGGCATTCTATATTATTCTCCACATTTCTCTATGTGGTTGAAGTATTTCATAACTTTGAAAACAAAAAAGTTTTAAAATTTTGTATTGGGATAATGGTATCACAAAGCTCTTTTCCTTTATACAAAGTTTACTTGAATATTGTTATATGGATAGCTATCAGCAAAAAATAAAGTTTGATCCATACTTCACAGCAAGATAAGCCTCAAATGGATCAAAGATTCAACCGTTTAAAAAAATTAACCATGAAAGTGCTAGAAGTCACAGGAGAATCACTTTATGACTAGGAAAGAACTTTCTAGTAATGTCACAAAAACCAGAATCTGTAAAAGAAATTAATAAATAAATTGAATTTTAAGTCTTCACATAAAAACATCACCATAAGCAAAGCCAAATGTCAAGATGGTTTAAAAAAAAAAAAGTACATCTCACAGATCAAATGGCTAATCTCCCTAATATACAAGGAGCTCCTGAAATTAGACAGAAAGACTAATAATCAAATAGAAAATGGATAAAAGCAGTTTACGGAAAAGGAAATACAAGTGGCTCTCTCACCCTCACTCACATAAGATAAACACAAAAGAACAAGAACAACTAACAACACTTTCTATGAGCAGGGAGCATAGAAAAACAGATACTCTGATATATTACTAATGGGAGTGTAAACTGAAACAATCTCTGAGTAGGGAAATTTGAAATATTTATCAAATTTTATAAACTCATATATTCTCTGACCCAATAATCCTACCCTCGGTATACATCAATGTGTAAGGTTGTATTTATATTAGCAAATGTACATTGTTGAAGTACCAATTAAATAAACAGATATATTTATAAAATACCAAACAGTTGTTATAGAAGAGATCTTTCATATACAGAGATATACAACAATCTGTAAGATACAGTACAACATAAAAAAAGCGGTATCAGCAAAGAACAGTATATATAGTATACAACCATTTTTGTTTAAAAAGAAGAGGGAGAAAGAAAACATGTATTTGCTCATGTATACAATATTAATGCCAGAGAAACAACACAAAAAACTATCAACACTGGGAGATAAGGTACAGCGATGGGAGACACTGTGTACCATTTTCAATTTTAAATCTTATGACTTAGTACTTCCTCAAAAAATAAATATAATTTAAAATTTCAAAGTTTTACTTAGGTATCCTTATACAATTTTTCTAATGAAACTAGAAGGAAATATACAGATTGGATTCTATTTCAAACCAGTGAGTTGTATATTTAAGTCTGAGATTTATCAAATTACCATGATTCATTTTGTTTTGGAATGTATGACATAATTTGGCTCAAGGGCAGTTGCTACCTAGAATATCCTTGTTTCATCTTTGAAAAGTTATTTGAAAAACACACAAGTTGAAGAAAGTTGCAGTAAATGTGACCAGTAATGGTACTTTTGTAAATTCATTTGAATGGTTACAGTAGTAGAGATTTACCATATAAACACAAATTCATATATTAAGTAATCATAGGCTTAAGACAATAAAGTGTCCTTAGATCCTGAGGGAAAAAAGTTTTAAAAAAAAGAAAAAATTTTTGAAACTCCTGCCTTACAATATACACAAAAATTAACTCAAAATGGATTGAAGACCTAAATGTGTAGAGTGACTGCTAAAACTATAAAGCTCTTAGAAGAAAACAGAAGTAAATGGTTTCATAACATCAAACCACAAACAAAAGAAAAAATACGTTAGCCATATCAAAATTAAGAATATTTGTGCTGTAAATGATACCAAGAAAGTGAAAACACACAAAATAGAAATATTATTGCAAATCATCAATCTGACAAGGAATTTGTTTTCAGAATATAAAAAGAATTCTTAAAACTCAAAAACAAAGATACTATCCAAAGGATCTGAAGACATTTCTCCAAAGACACACAAATGGCCACTAAGCATGTGAAAAGATGCTCAACATTAGTCATCATGGATATCCAAATCAAAACCACTAGGAGATACCATTTCAAACCCACCAGTGTGGCTATACCAAAAGGTCAGACATTAAGGATTGCAGAGCAACAAAATTAGGGCTCTCGCTTATTGCTCGTGGAAATGTAAACCTGTAAGTGGCTTTTAAGAAGTCTGGCAGTTCCTCAAATCACATGAGTCTATTTATATAAAATGTCTAGAACAGGCAATCTAGAGAAACAAAAAGTAGATCAGGGGGCAGGGAGGTGGAGAGGAATCTGTGGAGTGACTGCTAAAGGGTAAGAGTTTCTTTTAGGTGTAATGAAAATGTTCTAAAATTAGACTGTGGTGATGGGTGCACAACTCTGAATATATTAAATTCTGTGAATGGGTTAATTATATGGTATACGAACTTAATCTCAAAAAGTTTTAAAAAAGAAACCACTTAAAGGCTTGCATGATTAACTACGGAAACCCACCAGTGTAGAAGAAAAAAACACCAACAGTTTCTAAGACCCAAGAAAGTACACATACTAAGTACCTTACCAATTTTGATCTCCACTCCTCATAACAGAAGACGCTAAACACAGCTTCTCTCGGATGGACCAGGGCTCTGTGGGGCCAGTACTCAGCAGCTTGTGTTCTGAAAAAAGAAAGGGCTTAGAGGCAACCATTCAGACACTAGTTCTAAGCCCCAAAGAGAAGACTAAAAGCCTAATAAAAACATCCCAACCTGTAAGGACAAAGTAAGCTGCTCTCACCAAATCTTTGATTTTCACCTCTCTAGTAAAATATCACTACTAGGTTCACACCTATTCATACGCTCTGAGTATCTGGCAAACCATTTCTTCAAACTCCATGACTACTCTGCTTTATTCAAAAAAAAAAAAGGGAAAGAATAAATAAAAGAAACTGGGGAATGTCACATTAAGACAAGACAGTTCTCCGGAAAAGCCCAGTTTTAAGAATACTTAATTCCAAATTGAATGCAAGGGCTTTTTTCCCAGGATTCCGAGCGGCCACCCTCCTTCCTCCTACTGTCCCGCCTCCTCCTTAGCATAAACTTGTTTACTTCCCTCAGTTACCCTCCCACCAGTAACTTTGAGCCTGAGAAAGGCCATTTCTATCCGTAAAACAGGAAAATGGCTGAGATGCACGAAACGCAATGCCCCAAAGGCAGCAAAAGCTCACGGTTAAAATGCCCCATTTCTCTAGGAGTAGGGGCCTCACAAGCGCTGGTCAGAAAACGAACAGCTTTTTGAGATGCCGACCACACCGTACGGCTCACAGCATCTCTTCGTCTGCACGACCGAGTCTCTAAAGCACTTTTCTCTCTCACCCCACGGACTTCCCAACCACACAAGGATTCGCTGAGCTGCGGCTTTTAAATCTCCGCGGTCTCCCTGCGCCACAAAACCATAAACTTCTAGGCCGTCAACCGTTGGCCTTCACGACGCCGTCGAAAGCAGATCTCCGGAGGGCCTGGTTTCTCAGCAAATCATTGCTCTTACTCCCTAAATCTAGTACCCGGCCTAGGCTCTACAAAGGCCTTCCACTCTAAAACAACGCACATACTTACTACCCGTTCCTGCCGCCATCTTGGCCCCGAGGTCCCCAGTCCCCGAGGAAAGACCTTCTGGTAGGGCCGAAACCCGGGGGACTCTGGGAAATAGAGTTCGCTGCGCCTCCTGGGAATCGTAGTCCTCCCACCCAGCACAGCCAGACGAACAATCCCTGGAAGCCAGATCTAGTGCCCTCCTGGAAAATAATATGCTAAATGAAGGACAGCGGATGGCGGCTGAAACCTTAGGATTTCCTTTAGGCTTCTAAGAAAAGAAATGCCTAGGGTTTAAGGAAAAGCGTTAGGCAGGAATGATTCCAGGCTACCCAACTCCAAATTCGGACAGTTGGTAACCCGGACCCAAATTTGAGTAGTGGAAAGGTCAAGCCGGAGCCAACAGTGTCCCAGTCTCTTCCGGCCCCTTTCCTTGCGCTGATTGGTTCCTGCAAGTTTCGCTATGTGATTGGCCTAACGAACATAGCGCGTAATTTAAAACATTGTATCAGTAACAAAAGTGTGCCTTGTGGGCGGAGTCGTGCTCTCAGGAGGCGGCGAAGTCGTTTCTGCGGCGGGGTGTAACTGAACCGGTACCGGAGGAGAAGTGTCGCGTCTTCGGGTGAGCGTACAGCTGGCTGAGCCCAGCTGGGCTACCCTCGCTGAACAGGCTTCAGAAAGCCGGGCTGCCGCCTTCTCTTTTTTTAATACCTCTGTTCTCACTGCGTGCCTGGGGGCGAGGTTAGAGAAGGAGCCTACGGCTACGGTTTCTCACCTGCAGCATTACTGACACCACTTCCGCTACACCGGTGAGTCTGACACCCTACTTGGAGTGTGGCTTGCTTTTGGAGCCGTATATCGGTTCACACCCGTTTGCGGTCGGAAATCCAGCCTCCGACTGTATTAAATGGTTAACTCCTCTCATCCCCTTTGCTGGACGTTGAAGAGAAAGGGAGTAGGAATTTAGGCAGCAAGACCAAGATGTCCTGGACAACGGAATTCTTACCTAGAATTTGCAGCTTCTTCAGATTCTCTACCCACTCGTTTCTTTTTAGATAAAAGCTGCCGTTGCTGTCATGTCGCAAGGGATCCTTTCTCCACCAGCCGGCTTGCTGTCGGATGAGGAGGTCGCAGTCTCTCCCATGTTTGAGTCCACAGCTGCAGATCTGGGGTCTGTAGTACGCAAGGACCTGCTGTCAGACTGCTCTGTCATCTCTACCTCCCTGGAAGACAAACAGCAGGTAAGAGTTGGAGGGTGGCTTGGGGGCAGTCATATCCTGTTTACTAGTTGTCCATACACAGAAGCATGAGGTCAAAAACCAGCAATCCTGAGGGTCTGAAATTAATCCAAAATTGAGAGCATGACAAATAAAAACTGGAGAGTTGTATGTCCATAAGATGAACAATGTAAAGCATTGCATTAAAAAAACACCCTCAAGTGCATACTTTTGTTACTATTCTGAGGGAAGGCTACTATTTCTGTATCCTTCACCATGAGACTCATACATACTGAATAATTCGCACTTGGTCATACTGCTAATAAGCAGGTGGAGTGTACACTCTGGTGTTAATGTCAACCATAGCTTTCATTTATGGAGTTTTTCTTTCTGCTAAGCTAGGGTTTCTCACCTGCAGCATTACTGACACTCAGGGCCAGATAATTCCTCATTATGGTGGCTGTCCTGTGCATTGTAAGCTGTTCAGCAGCATTCCTGGCCTCCACACCCTAGATGTCAACAGCTCCTTCCCACTTGTGACAACCAGGAAACCTCCTTACATTGTTAAATGTCCCTTGGGAGGGAAATGGCCCTGGTTGAGAACAACTCTACTCAGAAGTCTCCTCGTTTATAGTTTCATGAAAGCAGGAGCCTTGGTAATGCCCCACTGTGCACTACCAGGGGCTCTTTGCATTCCTGGACCATAGCAGGAAGATCTCTAAATATATGTTGAATGAATGAGGTGGGTGCTATTATTAACACCCCCCCTTCTGCAGATGAGGAAACAGAGGCAAAGAATTTAAAGAATTTGTTCAAGGTCTCATAGTTACTAAATGATGGAATCGGGGCTCAAATTCAGGTGTACCAGCCTCCAAGGTGCTGAACTACACTGGGCATTGCCATAATATCACAGGCTGATTTGTGTACCAGTCAGCCATTTCTGATTTAAATAATCAGTGAGCTAAGTCAGGTTTTCAGGATACTGAAGAGACAGGGAAGGGTGATAATGTAGTGAAAAGTCATGTGGGTTGGAATGATTTCAGAACCAGAGTGGCCACACAGAGACAATGGAGGTGCAATATTGGTAGTGATAGCATGACTCCCTGGAACTATGTGCTGTGCGCCCTTCTGCTCAGAAGTAACTGCTGAGACTAATCTGTGGTTCTGGCCTGGAATTCTGACACAGGTTCCATCTGAGGATAGTACAGAGAAGGTCAAAGTATACCTGAGAGTCAGGCCCTTGTTACCTTCAGAGTTGGAACGACAGGAGGATCAGGTATGTTTCTGAGGAGGGAGGATTCAAGGTGGAACGATGCAGTACAGCAGAGGTTCCTAGTTCCTTTCTGTAACAGACAACTATGTTTCCCCCTTCTCAGGGTTGTGTCCACATAGAGAACATGGAGACCCTTGTTCTACAGGCACCCAAGGATTCCTTTGCCCAGAAAAGCAATGAGCGGGGAATTGGACAAGCCACCCACAGATTCACCTTTTCCCAGGTATGGAGGTTCTGGTCTGTGAACAAGGGACCAATATGTAGGGGCAACTTTATTCCTTCTTTGGAGGGAAAGCTTTTTACTTAACTGTGAGTTCCTTATGTATGCATGTCTACATTTGTGGGCCCCCTTGTCTTATTATAGTCAGTGTGTCAAGTACTTTATATGCATTAATTCCCAACAACTTTATCATTATGATTATTGTCCTTATTTTCATGACAAGGATACTGTGGCTCAATGAAGGCAATGTTGCTAAGCCATGTGGCTAGTCATTGGTAGAGGTAGGACTTGAATCTCGATCCAACCATCTCCAAAGCCCTCAGCTGTGACCGTTATGTTGTCCCACTGTGTGTGCAGCATCAGACTTAGTGGACAGCTTTCCATGAGTATTTGTTGGTTTGGGTAAAAGATGGACTGGCAAAGAGTAGTTGAGTCCTCGGTGTTCAGGGAGCAGCTGGCAGCACTGCAGGAAGAAGCTGGTTGAGTAGGCTCCAGAGCCAACTGCCCAGGAAGGGATGCACCTGCTGGCTCTGCACAGGAGGCAAGTGGGAAATGAATGATGGGCCTCTGAGAAACAGGATCTCTCTCTAGATCTTTGGGCCAGAAGTGGGACAAGCATCCTTCTTCAATCTGACCGTGAAGGAGATGGTAAAGGACGTACTCAAAGGGCAGAACTGGCTCATCTACACATATGGAGTTACCAACTCAGGAAAAACCCACACAATTCAGGGTGAGTCATATGCCTCATAGGATTGCTGACTGGCCTGTAATGTCTTTGCCTTTTGATGCTCTGAGTTGAGGAATAGTACTTGTCTCAGCTGCCCATCTTTCTCACGTGTTTCCAGGTACTATCAAGGATGGAGGGATCCTACCCCGGTCCCTGGCTCTGATCTTCAATAGCCTCCAAGGCCAACTTCATCCAACACCTGATCTGAAGCCCTTGCTCTCTAACGAGGTGATGTGGCTAGACAACAAGCAGATCCGGCAGGAGGAAATGAAAAAACTGGCCCTGCTAAATGGAGGCCTCCAAGAGGTGAAGTATTGGTGCTCACAGAGATGGGGACAAGAGGACAAATCTTGGGAAAATTTTGTGCTTATATTTTCTTGGGCCCCTCCAGGAGGAGCTGTCCACTTCCTTGAAGAGGAGTGTCTACATTGAAAGTCGGATGGGTACAAGCACCAGCTTTGACAGTGGCATTGCTGGACTCTCATCTACCAGTCAGTTTACCAGCAGTAGCCAGCTGGATGGTATGTACCATGACTAGGCTCTGTGCCAAACAGTAGGAACCCACTCCCCATTCCCAACAGCTGCCAGGTGGTACAGACCCGAGGCTGCAACCTGAGCTCTGCCTTCTGAGACCCCTGCAGGCTGAAAGGGAGATGCACTACTCTAGGACTGACACCCTGTACATTGGCTTCTTCCCCAGAAACGAGGCACCAGTGGGCACAGCCGGATACTGCCCCTGTAAGTGTCCCTGCAGACATTCGCTTCTCTATCTGGATCTCCTTCTTTGAAATCTACAATGAATTGCTTTACGACCTGTTAGAACCACCTAGCCAGCAGCGCAAGCGGCAGACTCTGCGGCTATGTGAGGACCAGAATGGCAATCCCTATGTGAAAGGTATGGAAAAGGCGGGAGACTGGCTGGTATGAACCGTGGAGGGCACTTGGGGAAAGACTAGGAAAGAGTTAGGTCCTCCTATCTTATGTATGCCCTTCTCTCCTTTGCCTCAGATCTCAATTGGATTCATGTTCAAGATGCTGAGGAGGCCTGGAAACTTCTGAAAATGGGTCGTAAAAACCAGAGCTTTGCCAGCACCCACCTGAATCAGAACTCTAGCCGCAGGTGAGTGGGTTGTGAGAGTCAACTTTTCCCTGTGTTCCTGGAAACATTAGTTCTCCACCTGGTTGTGAAAGAGGTACAGTGACATTTTCTTAACTTCCAGTCACAGCATCTTCTCAATTCGGATCCTGCACCTTCAGGGGGAAGGAGATATAGTCCCCAAGATCAGCGAGTAAGTTCTTCGATTTAGAAATGTGGGCTTCATGGCCATAAATTGAAAGGAGGTCCTCAGAGGATTTACTTCTGTTAGATTCTTGCTCTCCTTCCTTGGGGACAGAGATTCATGGTGGGTCTTCCCCTCCCCAGAACTAAATGACAGGCTGGAAAACTCTTAACATGTGGGTTCCTGTCCATCATTAAAGGTTGTCACTGTGTGATTTGGCTGGCTCAGAGCGCTGCAAAGATCAGAAGAGTGGAGAACGGCTGAAGGAAGCAGGAAACATTAACACCTCTCTGCACACCCTAGGCCGCTGTATTGCCGCCCTGCGCCAAAACCAGCAGAATCGGTGAGCTTTTGTAAGCCATAGGCCAGTACGGCCTGGAGCTCTGCAATTTGCTAAGACTTCCTGCTCACCACTGGGGGTGGTGCTAGGATACCCTAAGGACTGGAATTCTGCTCACAGCTCTGTTCTCTGGTTCTCCGCCAGGTCAAAGCAGAACCTGGTTCCCTTCCGTGACAGCAAGTTGACTCGAGTATTCCAAGGCTTCTTCACAGGCCGAGGCCGTTCCTGCATGATTGTTAATGTGAACCCCTGTGCCTCTACCTATGATGAGACCCTTCACGTGGCCAAGTTCTCAGCCATTGCCAGTCAGGTGAGAAACTGTAGGTGTGATGGTCGTGCTCACTTTGGGCTGGTACTTTTATTTAAGGAAGCTACTAGAAACTAGTTATAGATTCAATTAAGATTTTTTTCCCCACACTAGCTTGTGCATGCTCCACCTGTGCAACTGGGATTCCCACTGTTGCATTCACTCATCAAGGAACACAGTCTCCAGGCATCTCCCAGCTTAGAAACAGGGGCTAAGACAGACCCAGGCCTTGATGACATTGAAAATGAAGCTGACATCTCCATGTATGGCAAGGAGGTGAGAATGCAAGAAAACTGGTGCAGCAGTTCGATGGCTATACATTGTCCATGGTACCTTCTAGGTGAACCTGTGCCCTTTGAGGTCATGGACATTGGTAACTTCTGACCCATTGCCCTTCCTAGGACCTACTACAGGTGGTGGAAGCCATGAAAGAACTGCTTTTGAAAGAACGACAGGAAAAGCTGCAGCTGGAGATGCAGCTCCGTGATGAAATTTGCAATGAGATGGTGGAGCAGATGCAACAACGGGAACAGTGGTGCAGGTACCAGCTATATGACGCCTTTTGGTCTGTCACCTGAACCAGAGGATGGAAATAGGAGATGAGAATGGAGTTGTGGCTCAAGATCTGTCCTTCGCCATCTTCATTCACTTCTCTTTTCTCGTCTTTCTTGACAGTGAACATTTGGACACTCAAAAGGAGCTACTGGAGGAAATGTATGAGGAGAAACTAAAAATCCTTAAGGAGTCGCTGACAAGTTTTTACCAAGAAGAGCTTCGGGTGAGTTGCCCCAAACCAGCCCCAGGTAGCTCCTCAGATTCTCATCACTAGCTTGCCTGAGGTAAACAGATTTTATAAACTCTGGTAGGGCAGCAATAAGTAACTCACTTTTCTCTGGTCTCTTTAGTGCTTTGTAAGTGTCAGACTATGTTTGGTGAATTTTAAGGTTTTGGTTAGCCAGGAAATGGTGTAAATGCTAAGAAACAGTCTTCTGAGGTGTAAGTACCAGGAAGGTTTTGTTCATTGTTCAGTCATCTGTTCCTGCAGGATTTGTCTGACTTGGAACAGAATTGTACTCTCTGCTTCCCTCTTAGGAGCGGGATGAGAAGATCGAAGAGCTAGAAGCTCTTCTGCAGGATGCCAGACAGCAGCCAGTGGCCCGTCAACAGTCAGGGTCTGAACTGTCCTTGCGGCAGTCACAAAGGTTGGCAGCTTCCACCTCTACCCAGCAGCTCCGGGACGTTAAAGCTAAATTGGAACAGTGCAGGGCAGAGCTGAACTCCACCACTGAAGGTGAGGAAGGAAAGATGGCAGGAAATATAACAGTGGCTCAGGGAAGAGAGATTCTTCACACGGGGGCCTTCTGACACCAACTCAGCATAATTCCATCAACCCTGAGCTACATCTCCCTGACAGTTCACTCTAGGATGCATGTGGCCTCGTGTTTTGTATTTGCTGCAAGTTACTGTTAAAGAGGTAAGTCCAAGGCTAGGAAGCCCACATGCTTATTTCCTTTCCTCAGAGCTGCAGAAGTATCAGAAAATGTTAGAACCGCCACCCTCAGCCAAACCCTTCACCACTGATGTGGACAAGAAGTTAGAGGAGGGCCAGAAGGTAAATCAGCTTTCTCTGTTACCGGAGTTCTTACCTACGGCAATTTACAACACTGTGTCCCTGGATCATGTTGAGGACAAGATGTTTTCTCTGCATTCCTGGGCAATGGCTATTTCATTCAGCTGGCTTGCCTTTCTAATTTTACTTCTCTTCAAATAGCCATCCGATTCCAGATGATTATCTTGTTGATCTTGGGCCACAATTTGGTTCCTACTCCTCCTTTTCAGAATATAAGGCTGCTGCGGACAGAGCTTCAGAAACTTGGTGAATCTCTCCAGTCGGCAGAAAGAGCCTGTTGCCACAGCACTGGGGCAGGCAAGCTTCGGCAAGCCTTGACGACTTGTGATGACATCTTAATCAAACAGGTTAGGACAGCCTATATGTCCTCTTCTCTCCCATCAGCCCACTCAAGTATATGTGAGAAGGGGAATGAGGAGCTGAAGAGAAAGGTAAAGATTTTTAGGCTAATCTTATAGTGAAGGAAGTTTCTCTTCCTTTCAAAATAAAAATAACCAACCATTCACTGTGCAAAGTAATTTATAGGCATCTTCTTTGTTACAACCCTGGGGAGACAGATACTATCACATTTCATCCAAGATGCTTGGATTGTAAGAAACCATTACTTTATGAACCACTAAGACAAAACACGCACAATTAAGCTATACATTTTTCATCAGTAAATGCATCCTGATTCCAGATATTACGATGTTAAAAAAAATATTAAACAGAGATCTTAATTTGATACCTAGGCCCTGAGGCTCTTGGAGGTTAAATAAACTTATTCAAGTTCATAACACTAAGTGTTAGAAAACATCTATTTGGTCTGTGTCTTTGGGTCTTCAAGAAAATATCCCCTATGCAATTATAAGCTCTGACCTTAAAGAGTTAATCTTTGTAGAAACAACTGTTAGCAATTAGTAGTGGACGGCATATATGATTTTAACCTCTTGTTTAATATACGAGACTTAGTGTTTTCTATAACTTTATTGATCTTCCTTAGGATCAAACCCTGGCTGAGCTGCAGAATAACATGATGTTAGTAAAACTGGACCTTCGGAAGAAGGCAGCATGCATCGCGGAACAGTATCATACCGTGCTAAAACTCCAAGGCCAGGCTTCTTCTACCAAAAAGCGCCTTGGTGTCAGCCAGGAAAACCAGCAACCAAACCAACAGCCCCCAGGGAAGAAACCTTTTCTTCGGAACTTACTTCCCCGAACACCCACCTGCCAAAGCTCAGTGGATTGCAGCCCTTATGCCCGGATCCTGCGCTCACGGCGCTCCCCTTTACTCAAATCTGGGCCTTTTGGCAAGAAAAACTGAGTGTGGGGAAGAAGAGAGCATGCATCGCGGAACAGTATCATACCGAGTCTGTGGGGAAGAAGAGAACCTGAGGTGGGTCAGCTGCCCAGCTCAAGAAATAGATCTCTTTTAAGCTTTACCATATACCTGGAACTCTAACCAGAATGCAATATTCAGACACTAGCTGTTTTTCCCTTTTGTAATATAATCACCTATGTAATCGCATGTTTTTTTACTTATATGGTTTCTATGCACACAAAAAAGTATTAAATAAAGGTATTATTCACATTTTTATTTGAATTCCAAGCTGAGCAAGATCTGAAACAAATTATAAAAAGGGCAGAAAGTTGAAGGTCAAACATCATTCAGGCCCATGGGAACCCTGCACAGGAACGGCAGTAGAGACCAGTAACTTGTGTACAGCGAACCTAAGAAAGCTTGGTAAGAAATGAATTCAAGGGACATTAGGTTTTCTAAACCTTCCTTAATGTAAAACGAAGTGTCATACGTTAAGAGGTGAATGAGTAACAATCTTGTTTTAGAAACAGAAAAGCTGGTCCCTCACCTCCAAGTCATCCAGTGTCTACTATACACATTCGTTATGGCAGACATTATCGTCAGTGTGCTACCGCCTACTGAACACACGTGCGCAGACCTGAAGCCCTCCGCAAGTATAGCAAGAATGAGCCCCTTTACCTTGGCTAATCAAATGAAGGCTGAGGAAAACATTGCTGGAGATAGAGGAGGAAAGAAATATAATTACATCAAAAATACTAAGACAGGACAGCTTGAAGTGAGTTTATTCTTGTCCTTAGAGTCACAAAAGTTACTATTCCCAAATGTCCATGAAATGACTGCTTTGCTTTAGGAGGGGTAAGGCTGACTGTATAGAGGTCGTCAGCAGTTCCTTGCTCAGAATCTTTTGCCCCTACTTTAGTTCAACTTGAGTAACTTCCAATTTGAAAGCTTTTAGGCAACTCCTCAAAACTGTTTTGGAAGGATGTCTCCCTATAGTAAGAACAAATGGTATAGCTTCATTCATTTAAACCTAATCTCTGACATCAGGATAGTCACGTTCAGCGAATCCAAGAACAGTGAGTGAGGTCATGTCTTTCCAGGGCCCTGATCCTCCTAGGGCATCCAGTGCCCCTACTGCCAGCACAAGGCAGAATGACACACTTTTCTCCCTTCTTTGCCTCTCCAAAGCAATTTTCCACTCCCACCAGCATTAAAACTTTCCTGTAGTCTTGCCTGTGCTAAAGTGCTATTAAAGGGATGATTTTGGTGAGGGAAGGTCTAGGAAGAAGGCCAAGATCTATAGCCACTCTGAACAGAAAGGAAATAGAAGTGCTTCTCCTTGACCGAAGACAGTGACTGTTCCTGCCAGGATTCTTCTGTCAGCGCACTCTGAAGGTCATACTATAAACTGCCCCCAAGTTGCTGTTTCCACCTGTACAAACAATAGAGCTAAGGTCCTTGGAAGAACAGAAGTAGCTGTTCCTTCTATAGAGATAAGGCTTAATATGTGTCTAGCAATGTGCTGGCTTGAAAGGAGCCGACTACGGTGTGACTGAAGACAGGTTGAGCGGAGAAACTCTGCGTATGGGAGTGTTGTTAGCAGACAGCGAAGCAGGGAGGAAAAAGGGAGCAGGCATCTCGGTGGAGGGAGTCTCGCCTTGGTTCCGAAGCTGCAGGATTTGCCGGAGCAAGGCTTTGCCTTCTTCTCGGGTCTGAAACAAAGGCAGGCAACTGTTTCAATATGTCCAAGGCTATTCTCAAAATCGGATTCTAAGATACAATATATAAGTTCCACAGATCAAAGAACCTTTCCACTTACCTTTTTACCCACCTTTCACCCCCCAGATCATGAAAAAAATTGTATGTTCAAGCCTAAAATTCAAACCCTTTATTAAAGAACTGATACTCACGTCGTTGAACGCACAACACTTTTGGGCACAAGTTGAAGCTTCATCCCACAGCTTGCACTTAAAGTAGTACTGGGCCAGATAGCGGAAAGCAGTGCTCTCTTCCAAGTGCTCCACTATTTCCTAGATCGGGGAAGCGGGAATGACTGAGGTGATAAGAGTAAGACCAGCAACCCAATTCTCATGCTCATGACACATACCCCACAGGAATAGATATCTTGGATATATTTGATGTAACATTGGGCAGCCTGTTCTGACTCAGTCAACTGTTCATGAAGCCTACAAAAAAAATTGGTCTTTAAGTACAGATCACATCTCGAGGCAAGCTAGTGATATAAAGTAGAAGCACAGGATCATGACCCAAAAAGTGACAATACATAGACAGACAAGTACACATTTCAACATAAATGGCACCCTGGAGCCAGAATACTATTAGTTGTGAAAGCTTAGAATCATTACTCTGCTACTGTGATGAAGGAAGCATTAGTAAACACCTAAACTGGATAACACACCTTTGCAAAAATTCTCAGGTAATAATCCTGAGCCGGATAAAAAAAGATACCGAGCAATTCAAACTTTTTTCTAAGAATCCAAAAAAGAATTGCCAGGAATGAAATTGCATTTAAAAACCTCTTTGCCTGTCATCTCTGAGTTACTCCTTATTCTCTTGAGCCTTATCAGGAGATTAGAACTTAAAGTAGTTTTCTTAGACTGCTCTGACATGACAATTTCATTCATTCCTTTTAGTTCATTCTTGATCCCTTGCCTAATAGGAAAGCAATTTCCCCTTCAGAGAGAAGAGGCATGTGTTTAAGTCAAAATGGCTAACTTTCGAGACCAGTATTCATACCCACTGCTACATCCCCTCCCCACACTCATGCAGGATGATGGATGGAGGCTGTAGGGCATGCAGAACCACAGCCCAGAGAAGCCAACAGAAATAACAATAGCATTTCACTCCTTTCACTCACTTTGCCAGTTTCACCAGAGCCATCTTCTCCACATCTCCCACGGCATAAGCTCTCCAATAACACTGTCAAGGAAATAAACCGGTCACTTTGCCCACTGCCTTATGCACCACGACTAATCATAACGGCTCAGGTCCTGCAAGCCTCCTAGCATTTGTACTAGATCTCACAGGGCCAGGCTGCATACTGACATTCCCACTGATTTTGTCAGCCCTGCTGCACTTTCTAGCCTATGCACCTATAAATACCCAGACTTTCCTACATAGATAGAGAAGAATAAAAGAAAACTAAGGCACAGATAGCCTAACCCTCCATCAGAACAGCAGGTTTCTACTCAAATTCTCTAGGACCCAATTTCAGGTACCTTTTTGGCTTCCACTAGTTGATTGAGTTTCTCATAACATTCTCCTAAAGCAACCAGCATACGAGAATCATTGGGCCTGAGGGAGAAGAGGGATAGGCAATCTGAGCAGACTTTATAGGTAACTTAAGTACTCCCTTGAGGAACCACCACCACAGCTATTTCAGATCTATGCAAGGACTGGTCTTTAATCCAACGCTTCATATAATTGTATTATTTTGTGTTCACAATTATACTATTAACCCATCAGTAGAATACACTACATGAAAATGACCAAACAGCACATGGCAAGTTTAAACTCAGGTCACTAAGAAGCAAAACTATGTGATTCTTCGGTAGCTATTAAAAAAGAAAGGTATCAGCCCTCCCCACAACAAGCACATCATCACCTGGCCAGACTTACCGAAGCTGGTGGGCCCGCCTGTAATAATAAAGGCAGTAAAATGGCATCTTAAGGATTTCATAGGTCTGCCCAAGACCATACCAGGCCCTGTAGTCCCGCTTATTGACCTCAATGGCATGCCTAAGAAATGAAGGAGAGACTGGTAAGAGGGCAGAATCAAGGTTGGCAACTTGCAGGCTCAATAGACTCCCAACATCAGAGCAATCAGCTCCACCTCATCCCTACAACTAGTTTACCTATAAGCTTGAATAGCAGCAGATGTGTTCTTCATTTCCATGTACTCGTGCCCCATCAGTGTCCAGGCCCCAAGATACCGAGGGTTCAATTTCAGGGCTCTCTGGAAATATAAGGCTGCTTTCTCATGCTGAGAACGCAAACTGTAATAATTTCCTGATTTTTTAAAAAAGGAAAAAATATATATGAGTAACTAGAAAGGTAAAAATAAAAGCCTACTAAAATAGACCACATTCCATAAAGTGGGCATGAAACCATAACCCAGTCCCCCGAAATCTTTGCAGAAAAGCCAAATTGTACATAAGGGAAAATATCATCATTCCCTTGGGAAATATATTTTACGTATCAAACAATGTGGTTTAGAAAAAAAAGAGTTCCCTACCACTGCAAGTTTTCCTTCATTTTATTTTATCTGGATACAGCATTGATACACACATTTTCCTAAGAAAGGGCAGGGCATTTCTAGAGTATGCTTTAGACTGGCTGGATTTCCAACTATATTCCTAGACTCCTGAGGTACCTTGAGAGTTAAAAAGGTAAAGCTCTGAGCTCCCTTCTCCCACAAGAATCAAAGTAGTTCTATTATCATTGTTCTTGAAAGGAGCATGTGAAAGATTTCAGGATTCTGTGAAAGAATTTGAAGAAAGGGTATAAAGGCCATCTGTTGTATGTCAACTGCTAAATGGATAAACAAAATGTGGCATATATCCAAACAGCAGGCTATTACTCAGCATAATAAGGGAAGAACTATTGATACATAGTACAACATGGATGGTCTTCAAAAACCAGAAGCTGGATAATAAGACTAAATATTGCAAGATTTCATTTATATGGAACTTCTAGAAAAGGCAAATTATAGAGATAGAAGGCAGATCTGTGGCTGCTGGGGGATGACAGGGTCTGACTGCAAATAGACCTAAGGGAACTTTCTAGGTTTGACAGAATGTTCCAAACTGGGTCACGGATATAGTTACACAACTGTATAAGTTTACAATAAACTCACTGAACTGTAAACACAAAGTAGATAAATTTTATGATATGTAAGTTGTATCTCAATAAAGCTATTTTTTTTAAAAATGAATGAATTATATGTAAGAACTTGTTCACCATGTAAGAACTTGTTCTTTATGCTTCAGAAGATCGGAGACTGTTGAGAATTAGGCTTAGGGTTGATTAATGATTGTGCATTGAATCCCCTATACAGAATTTTATTGTTGTTAACAACCATTTGATCAATA